TTTTTTTTTTTTTTTTTTTGGGTTTCTTCGCAGTTTTTAAATTTGGTTTGTGGAATGTTGAATTGGAGTATCTAAAAGGGATTCAAAATGGTGGGGTTGGATTTTTTGTTGGTTTCGCTTAAGTTCAATTTGAAAGAAACAGTTACTGCTGATGAATTTGAAGCTCGACGTGTAGCTTATGGACTTGAACATTGCTGCTATGAATTGTGTGTATTGAGTTGAATTTGTTGGCACTACCTTGGTTTGTTTGTTCACCTTTGATGTTTTCTGTATAGGTGCGCTGTCGATTTCCATGAGAAATAGCCCCTCATAGAATTGAAGCCAAAAAGATGAAGAAGCTCTTCTATCGCAGATCACATTCAAATAATAGCAGCAGCAATAATCAACTCTCTCCGCCACCGGCCGGTAGAATCAACAAGTCTGGGAAAAACAAGCATGGTTCAGAAGATCCAGTTTTTGGCAGCACTCATAGTCTAAGAAGAAGCAGCTCCTTTTCATCCGGGAGTTTTTTTGATGGTGGTAAAGGCCCAACGAACAATGCTAACCAAACTGGGTCTCCTTGCAGTAGTCCCGGTTATTATTATTCAAATCAGCCGCCAGGACGCCTCTCCTCTCGGTACAGTCTTTTTTTTTTTTTTTTTCGTTTCATTCTTTCCTGATAGTTGTTTTCCAAAAGTACCTCTATGTTTACTTACGCGTGTTTCCTTTTCTTTGGTTTTTTTTTTGGTAGTTCTCGTCCTCAAACTCCGGAAAGGCTGAAAACCAGATCAGAATGCATTGATGCAGCTATGGTTCCGAATGCACACAGAGCAAACTCTGATTTGTCAGAGGACTCTCTTTATTGCTCGAGTAACGTCTCGAGTAGCATTTTGGATCGATACATTGATGGCGAGCAAGAGTTGGATGAAAGGTTATCGAAAACCAACTCCTCACAGTTTGACAAGCGTCCGCCTATGCTTCAGTTGGCTGCTGCACGTGATGCTAGACAACGGAAACCCAAATCCCAATCCTTCAGAGAAGCCAAAATAAGACCTACACATTGCAATGAGTCTCCACGGGAACTTGCAAAACATGTGGTTGAGAGGCTTTCTTCACGGTCTCACTTTTTGGGGTCAAAAGAGTTTGATCATCACGACAGTCCAATTACCATAGATGATATCTATGGAAGAACCTTTAACAATGGGTGCTCCAATGTGTACCCTGAAGGAGCATCTTCAGAAAATTTGCACGCAGAGACCAGTGATGGGTCTCCTCTTCATGAAAAAACTCTGGGGTTCTTGGAAAAAGATGCTGTAGTGGACAATGATGTACATTTATTCAGAAAATTTGAAGAAGCTGAGAACCGTGCTGCAATTCTCTCACAAGAGTTTGGGATGGAAAACTATCTTGAATGTGGAGGATATAGTGTGGCGGAACTTGTTCAAATGATTAGAAGCTTAACAGAGGAGAAGCTACATATGGCCCTAGAAGTTTCAACTGTCCTTGAGGATAGGATTGCCGAAAAAGGCTTCCTCAAGGAAAAATTTAAACTAGCAATGGTAGAGCTTGATGCACAGACCCGGCGATTGACAAAGGAAAAAAATGAGTTGCAGTTGACTCTTGAGAAGGAGTTGGATAGGAGATCAAATGAATGGTCCCAAAAGCTTGAGAAATTACAGACAGAGGAACATAGGCTTCGGGAGAGGGTGAGGGAGCTAGCTGAGCAGAATGTTGCACTCCAAAGGGAAGTCTCGTCTTATAGTGAAAGGGAAATGGATTCCAGAAACAGAATCACTCTCTCTGAGAAACAGCTTGGGGATTTATCTGATCAGTGTAAAGATGCTATGGAGGAGAATCATTATTTGCAGAGAAGTCTATCTGAAATGCAAGAGAAAGCCAGAGCAGCTGAAGAGGAACGTGATTGCATCCGAAGGAACTATGAGGATAAGGTTGCTGAGTGTAAGAACTCGCACCAATCCATCAGTAGACTTCAAAGAACCTGTAATGAACAAGAAAAAACAATTGACGGGCTACGAGGGCTCTGTGAGGAGGCACTTGGTAAGAAAATTTCTCAGGAAAGTCTTTATTTTGGATCTGCAAAGCTGCAGGTTGAGCATATGAGGCTGACTGAAGTGGAGCATGGTCTGAGGAAGGAAGTTGAATCGTACAGAGCGGAGGTTGATTCACTTCGACGTGAAAACATTGATCTGCTCAATCGTCTAAAAAAGGATGGGCCATTTTCGACTTTTAAATTGGATCAGGAATTAGAGAGCCGTGTTAGCTGCTTGGAATATCAAATTGTCCCGTTGCTAATGGACAGCACCCAGCTTGGCAGGAAATTAATTGAATCTGTCATAACCAATGGTCAAGCTTCTGCTACGTGTTTAGATGGTCATGCTCTTGTTGAATGTGAAGTGAAGCTCAAAGGCCTAGAGAGGGCAGCAGAAAATGTAACAAGCAGTTTGCGGACTGTGTGTAGTGTCCTTTCGGTCCTGCCTCATGAGAAGTATTGTCTAGTTCGCACAGACACCCAATCGGCTAGCTCGGTTGACGAATTGTACAAATGGAACGAGCACAAATCAGAGGTTTTTTTGTCTTATTTATTTAATTATTTAGTTGATTAAGTTTTTTGGAAATTAGATTCTACTTTACTGTGCACTTCTCCAGTTTACTGTTTCTAATGTTATTTTGGTTTACTTGCCAGGACATTGTCAGATCAGCCCTGAAAGCAGAGACGTTATTGACCAGTTTGTTGCGTGAGAAGCTTTATTCCAAGGAACTCGACTTGGAGCAACTGCAGGCAGAGCTTGCTGCTGCTGTCAGAGGAAATGACATTCTCAAATGTGAATTGCAAAGTGAAGTCGATAATTTTTCTTGCTTAAACCACAAGATGAAAGAACTTGAACTTCAGGTTAGTCTGAACTAATAATATCTGTCACGTAACTATGCTTTTACCTTATGTTTGTTGTAAATTGCTGTTTCAAGTAATATATGATTGGGGACGCTCATATATATTATTTATATTATGCATCATGGAACGTTATAACTGTACCCTTCTTCCAATTGAAAATTCAGTGAGGCCATATGTTAAGTATTTAGCACATCTTAATTTGTTTTTCTGTATGATAATAATGGTGCCTCAGTGGAGTGTCAGAGATTTCCTTGGTGCTTTTGGTGTTTGGGTCTAATGCATGTGTGTACTCGTAACCATGTGAATATAATGTAACAATTTTAGCAAAAATTTTCGTCTCTCTGTGCTATTTAAACAATCACATATATTTTATTTGTGTTAACAGACGATGAAAAAGGGTGAGACAATTAATCAACTACAAGGTGATCTGCAAGAATGCCAGCGAGAATTGGCTATAGCGAGGGGAATATTGCCGAAGGTATCTGAAGAGAGAGATATGTTGTGGGAGGAGGTTAAGGAGTATTCTGAGAAGAACATGTTATTGAATTCTGAGATGAATGTGTTGAGAAAGAAAATAGAGACCCTTGACGAAGAGATACTACTTAAAGAAGGCCAAATCAGCATTTTGAAAGACAGTCTCGATAAACCTTTTAGCCTTCTTGGTAGCCTGGACTCTACCGATAATTTCCGCTGGCCAAATAAGAACTGATTGTTCATGATACCCTTTTATATACTTTCTCATAGGATTGGTTGTCTTTTTTCATTGTTTTTCATTGTGAATGTTGAGTTCATCTTCTGCGGTTTGGTATATGGAAATTTCGAAGCTTCTGTAGTCGGTTTATCGTATATTGCTGTAAAGCTAGTTAATTCCTGATAAACCTTAATGCATATGCTCAAATTTCTATGAAAGTTGATTTTTTTTTTTTAAAAAAAATATAAATAAATGTCCTGCTCATTCTATGCCTATAGTAAACATTCATATTGCTGCTCATCGCGCAACGATCAGAGTGTAGTTGAAAAGGTCAGTGTATATTGGTCAAGGCTATGTCCTCTCTTGTGATGCCGTTATTCTGTGCACCGGGGATTTCGAATGCTAGCTGTTGCTATTTGTGCTAAGTACCCTTGGAAAGCTCCAAGGATTTCATGAAATGATTGTGCAACATACAAATATGCTTGGTTTGGTTATGTTTTGGGATAATTGCAAACTATGTTAGTCACATATTAACCTAATTAAAATGAAAAGTTCTTTTTAAAAAGTACATACAGCTCCATTCCAAGTAGCTCAACTTTACACACATTTCATTGATCAGTTCCCTAATCTGGTTGGCCTGATCACCCTCCAGAACTGCGTTCACCCGATCAATGTCATAAATGTCATAATTATGGCTGGTTTCCGACATGACGACCGAAGAAGAACAAAGAAAGCTATGTACGTATTTACCTGGTAAAGCTTACGTCGCGTCGTCCCATCGAGAACCAACTGAAGACCTGAAATCAACTGTGAAAATAAAGAAACGGTAAAAGGTTTGAGGTGCATGTAACCACCTATTTATAGAGGAAATCTGAGCCTTATGCTGATATCATATACTAGCACCGACCAAAGTGAGGGAGATCGACAGACAGCTTTCCAAGCCCATAGTGTTTTGGCTGCGCCTCTGGAACCTAGAGGCCCCCTTGTTAGACACTACATTTCAAGGTTAGTCTATTTATCGTATGGGCGTAGAGCCCATGCTTTATTGGCCTATATTGATCGTCTGGGCGTAGAGCCCATGCTTTATTTGGCCTATATTGGTTCAAGCTCAAAGCCTGGCGTTCTTCGATTTCCTACGCCAAGCTTTGAGCTGAAAAGAGACCACTCAACTTGTCCCATCATCAAAAGTCATACTTTACATGCACACACGTGTCAGACTCTCGCGTACTTAGTTGACCAACGACAATCATTGTCTTTTCACTTTATCTATCTATAAATTTCACAATAAATATATCATAAAGGACATACATTTACATATATACAAACAAATATACACTTTCCTTTCAATTGCTATCTCACGTCGATCTCTCATATAGTTGACGATTTTATAACGTGTTTTACATTTAATCCCGTATCGCATATATTAACTTGGTTTGGTAATAACGTTTAACAACAATTCTTAATTCAAAATATTGGTTAGATAAATACTGAATGAATAGATAAAATGAAATAATTTGATATATCAACAATTCTAACGTATAAGTTAATAAGAAAAAAAATAAAATACTATCCATTAAAGTTGCACTTACGATTTTTCAAACTCATAAAGAAACAAAAATTGAAAAACCAATCTCTACTTACATGTACTTATTATTACTCTGCCTTAATTAAGTATTCAACAATTGTTGACATATCTATATACTAGTACTAACGCCCGTGTATTACACGGGTGTTTGCTAATTTTTTTCTTAAAATCTAAAATTAATGAGAAAAAGTAGTCGAAAATTTAAATACATTTTATAAAAATATATATATTATTATATATTTAGTATGATACTTTTTATTTGTAAACCAAGATAACTTTTTATCAATTTTTTTTTTATTTTGATTTCTTTCCATATTGAAATTATTTTAAAATATATTTTCATTGCAAAGTATGCTGAATAAACTATAAAGCCTTATGATGAAATTAGAAAAATATCTTGATTATAGAAGGGATTTAGTTTTTGGCAGTTACTAACTCAAATATGTTTAATTATTATAAAAAAATAATTTCTAAAAAATATTTGTGTATATTCTGTAAAATTTTTGTGCACAATGTTTGATTTTAAGTTTATTTATATAATTTAAATTAATTATATTAATAAATGATATTAGTGCACACTAAATATTTTCATTACATAAAATAAAAAGAAGAAGAAGATCACATCTATAACTTTTATAAATAATAATAATAATGACTTTATAATAAAATAATAATTTAGTATTATAAAAGAATAAGTAAAATTGTTATTTTTTATGTCAAGAATAAATATATATACTAAAATCAAATTTATATTATTATAAACATGTTAGCGGGATAATATATTAATTAATTTACAGGCTACCATTAACAGGCTCGGGTTTGACGTCCCGACAAAAAAAAAAANNAAAAAAAAAAAAAAAAAATAACGTTGATGAAAAGAGGTAGAAAATAGATGATCCAAGTCTAGTATCTTTAGGCCGCAACGGACAAGCTCTATGTAAATGATTCATTCAATATATTTGTCTAATGCATCACACGAACTACTTAACGGACAAGTTCTATGAAAATGACGCATTTAATATTTTTGTCTAGTGCACATTTAAACAAATAAAGTAGTACAATATTTGACCACCATGTTCCCGTGGACAAGAAATTGTTTGACCCTCTACTCATATGCCAAAAAAATTAGCGGACGACTGACTATATATTAAATTTGATTTTATAATTTATCGATACTTTATTTTTAACATATCTTAATTTAAAATACAACTTAATTTTAATTCAACTCAACTCAACTCAACTCTCTCAATATAATTATATATATAATTAAATAATATCAATCAATTATTTTCACAAGTCAATCAACTTTACTTCACGATTAATCAATTCACATATGTTTAAACCTAACATCTATATATATATAAAAAATTGCTAGCAAGACAATTAATAAAAATGTTTCTTTTCACTTTATTCCACTCTATCACACACTTAACTGTATTTTTTTTTTAATTATGTTTAATTCTTGGTTTGAAATAGCATATTAGAAAATTCAATCGGTCCGATTTAATTTAATAAAAATTTGGCTTTTTTTACTTTTGGAATTTTCTTTTATGTTATGAAAAGGTGTAAAGGATTATATAATAACGAGTTGAAGTTTTATTAATTACTTTGCGACCAATATATATACATATAATTTATATAGATATTTTATTACAAACAAAATATAAAATCAATTTAATAACAAAAAAAAAACATCAATCTTCTCTTCCTATGGGAAAAACCATGCACCCTGCATCGTAAATAAACATATATAAATAATTCATGTATAATATAATGATGAAATACACAAAAAGAATTCTTGGTCAATCAACTAAACATAACATAAATTCTTTAATAACAAATTAATTTATTTTCTTAAATTTATAATGTCCACCAAAATAGTCGCACATCTTTTAATGAATATTCTTCGTTTGAGAATAAATAATTAAATTAATTGGCACATTAATTTGAGCCCAAAATTAATTTATCCATTTTTACAGTATTTTTGTAATAATTTTCACATCTATACGGGCCGTGGTAGAAAAGCATTCGAAGTTCGAACTAATCAAAGAAACTGTTAAAATGAGTTCCACTGCGTAATACAACATACTAATTAACTCTTCCACTCCCATCTTAAGCAATCTTGAAATGCAGCAAACGAAAATCCTGTAAGATAAACAAGCTCAAACACACCCTGCCACATCATCCACTCGGCACATTATTCGGCTGATATGCCGCCGCCTGTTCACCGCCTCCCAGAGGATAATACTGCTGATTATTACCCGGCGGAGGTGGCGGCTGCATATAACCGTACGGTGGATAATAAGGCGGCGGGTAGAACTGCCCCGGAGGCGGCTGGCTCTGCCCTGGCTCACCGCCCGTGCTATTATCACCTGATCCAGATGGCCTGCCCTGCACAAGAGCCCCCATCCTCTGCGGGTCCATTGATGGGTAGTACGCCCTGTCCTGCTGAGGCATCAATGGTGGGATATTAAAATATGGCACGGGCGGAGGATGCTGCAGTTGTGGGCCGGGCCCACCGGGCAGAGGAGGGTTCTGCTGCTGAGATATGACGGCCCGCGGAAGCAACCCACTGTGAGCTGCAGACGACTGCTGCTGCCCTGGCTCCCCAGACGGGCCCTCGTGTTCGGGCCTCATGGCCTGAGGGCGGCCCCAGAGGAGCTTGAGCCGTAGGCCCTTGACGACCAGCTTGTTCGAGAGCTCTTCGGCAGCTTTCTCAGCGCCTTCTCTTGTTGTGTAAGTGACGAAGGCGCAGGCCCGCTGGAGGACCATCTTGACAGACTCAATCTCACCGTAGGCATAGAAGTTGTCCCTCAGATCTTGTTCGGTTATTCTGGCGTCGAGACCGCCCACATACAGGGTTTTAATGCTCTCATCCTCGGGAGGCTCTAATGAAGGCATCTCGCCAGCCTTGTTGAGTAGTTTCAGAGCCACTGGGTCATTAACTCTGCAATATCACACAGCATTTTAAAAAATTAATGTTTTCTTACAGAAAAAACAAATAAGAAAATAAATGTTCATCAAAGGAATTATTGACAGATAGAATCTCATCAAAGCATAAGAAAAAGAAAGAGAACAAATTATCGTGTATTGCTTGCACGAATAGGTTCAATTCAAACAAGTGAAGTTGAAAAGCAGCATGCAGCATGTATCATAAATACCCAAAACTAATTCCTTCTATCATACATCACTAGCACTCAGCTGAAAAACAAGGATCTGAACACAAACAGCATTGGCTTCAAAATGAGCACACAAAAAATGCAAATCATTATGGCGCGAGAAAATAATTGAATTAGGAGGTGTGAATTAGGAGGTGGTCTTCAAACATACCCATAGTAACGGTCTTTGATATTTTGCTGAGACAATTCCCCTTCAACAGGCATCTCGTGCCTGTATGGGCACTCGGGCCCTCTTGTACATTGACCTCGAACATAGAAACTACAAACGTGAGCCCGATTTCTCTGGTAGTAAGGTTTGGTTCTTTGGAGCTTAAGAATAGTATCATTTGGGCGCGCCTTTCCATAAGAAGATTCATAATCTATCCCAGCTCTGGCCTGCATATAATTCCAATGAAATACATCAGGTGGGAAGGATGACAAGCAAGGACTAACATAAAACGAGCAAGAAGTAGCATGCTAGCGCTAACAAAAGATGGGAAGAAAATCATAGTTTTGGAAGAGGGCCCAACAATCAAGTCACTTAGACTTTAATTATCTGTGAACTGGGACTAATTGGTCTTTTACATATGAATGCCGTTAATGTGCAATATATTCTCTATGGTGTAATTTTCCACATGATCAATGGGAAATCAATGAGTTCTACAATTTAAGAACAGCGCAAATGCAAAAGAAACCACAAGCAACACCAGGTGTCTCAAATCACGAAGAAACCAAGCAACCAACAATCACCGGCCATCACTCACATAACCAAATGTTAAATAGCCCAACTTCTAATCAAGTCAATCCCAGTTGAGGCAGACCATAGCAAATAAACTCACTTTGATAGGCATCAATCGGTTTAAAAAATACATTGACACTGCTTGCACACTTGCTCTTCAAATGCAAGGCAACGAACGAAAATAATCATCAAAATGAATAAGATGACAGTTCTAGGTGAAACTCGAAAGAGAAACATACCCTGCGATCATGCTCCTCAGCAAAGTACTCCCTATTCACGTCGCTCTTTGGAATGGCGTCATTTGAATTGATACTCAGAGCAGTATCCCGGACCTGAACAGGCAGCCCATATTCAAGATCTAAAAGGCAAACTTGACACACATTTTTCAGCTTACTACAAGTCTGGCAAATCTCAGTCTTCTTGTATCTTGCATCACGTCCTGGTCTCCACCTGAACACTGTGAAGGGCCTAGTACAGATCTTGCACTCCTTATCATAATCAGCTTTTGTCTGCACCAAATTAAGAGCAACCATTTACATGAGATCTTGCCCAACACAATAGTCGTTCTTTGGCTCTTTGCAATAGAACAACATGTGAGCCAATTAAAATCTGAAACCGCATCCATTTTCAAGAAAACGAAAATAAATTACACACCACAAGTAGTTTTCCACAAAGCCACTCTCGGGATACATTCCAGACAAAGAACACAAGAGGGCTACAAACCATAACAAGATCATACCTCCAAAAACTACTTTTATATAGCAAGCTGCAGACAGAAAAAACTACTACACTCAACGGAAATCCCAACATTTGTGAACAAGACGGAAACCATCTTAGCAAAACAATTGATAGTTTCTCAGTTCTGAAGACTCCGCTTCTATTAGCAGAAGTATCCAATGAAGCAATCAAAGAACAGAAAGCTATGGAAGCATCAAATCTAAAGATTACCATTCGAACATAAGGATTATCGCCAAGGCAAGATTCACAAATAATAGGGAAGTCAGAACGCTCCCACCCATCAGCTTCAGCATCCCTCAGCAGCCTATGCGCCATCTTGTCCTCAACTCAAAATATCTTCGATTTTAAGCTGCATCATAAAAGATCCGAAATTGAGTAAAATTGAAATATACAAGCAGAAGAACAGAACACCAATTTAGCTTCCCAACAAAACCCTAATGTGAGAAGTCCTAGGTCAGGTTGTTAGACGAAGTAAGTACCTTGCGGTTTTTTGCCCAAGCAAACAACAATATACCTTCCAATGATAAGAGGCGTGATTGTAGACCTTGAGAGCGAGAGGCTCTGGCAGTTTACGGCGGCGGTGGAAGAGATGCGCCGACGGAGAGAAATGGGACAAAATTATATGAATCCCGTGAGACGAGCAAAGTACGGGTGAACAAAATCGAAATCGAAAAACCGAAACCGAACTAATGCATTAGGTGCGGTTCGGTTCGGTTCGATTTTTTCAAAGGTTCGTTTTTTATGTGGTTAAAATTTTGAAAAACTGCACAAATTTTAGTGCGGTTCGTTTTTTGTCCGAACGGTGCAGTTTTAATGTATGAATCCCGTGAGACGAGGAGACTATGGGTTAGCAAAATTGAGTGGAAACGGAAAAATCAAGCCGAACGCGATGTATTCGGTGCTGTTTGGTTCCGTTTTTCAAGGGTCGGTTTCAGTTCGGTTAGAATTTGAAAAACTGCACAATTTCGATGCAGTGTGATTTTTTGTCCGCATGCTGCGGTTTTAATCGAACCCGCACCGAATATGTTTTTTTTTCTAATAAATATGTTAACATATTTGTATTGTACATATTACATGCTTATTTTGGGCATATGGTTCAGGATGACTATCGTTAACAATAAATAAAATAATAAATAACAACAATAACAATTAAAAATTAAAAATATTACATCAGAATCTAATTTGTTGCCCTAGTTTTTCATTTTGAGTTCAAATTTTGGGTCTTTGGTTAATTAGATGATGATGATGATGTAGCTTCAGTTTATTTTGGGTGTTTTTTTTTCTTTATAAAAAATAAATTTGCAGTTAACCGAAACTGCACCGAAACACGCCGAAAATTTCGGTGCGGTTTCGTTCGGTTTCTCTACCAGTTTCGGTGTGGTTCGATTTGGGTAAATAGATATTTTTGGCTTTCAGTTTTGCCGTTCGGTGCGATTTTGCACCGAACCGCACCATGCTCACCCCTAGAGCAGATAATAACGTCGCCTTTGGTGTTTTTGGTCCACCTCGTGTGAGCGTAATGAAGGCTATGTTTAGTAAGCATAGCTTGGTTTGGAAGGGCCAATTTTTATTTTTATTTTTATTTTTTAAAAAAAGCTCAATTATTTTCATAAACTTTGTTGGGTAGTTTTCAAATAAGATCATCAAAATTTTTATTTTAGCTAGCTTATCGTCTAATTGTATCACACTTTTGGTTATATTTAGTAAAACTAGTTGATAAGTCATCTGATAAGCTAGATTATAGCGTGATTTTCGAGCTTATGTCTTATGACTTATATATGAAAATCTAGCTTATATGATAAAATGTTTTGTAATTAGCTGATAAGTTAGCTGAAATAAAAATTTTAACGAACTTATTTGAAAATCTACTCAAAATAGCTTATAACATAAGATCAAACTTTGTCAAAAAAAAAACTCATCCTATCAAACGAAGTTTACTTGGATACTGGAAGCTTATAAGCTAACCAAATAAGTCATAAACTAGCTTATTCGGTTACCAAACATAACATTTATCATAGAAACTAGCTTTTCAACCATAAGTCATATGTTATCATCTATAAGCTCGAATTTCACTTAAAATTTATAAGCTATCTTATCAGCTAGGTTTAAGAAATATAACTCAAATATAGATATATCACATCATATAATTAAAAGTTTAAAACAAGTTGTATTGTAATCACACTTACAATATCTTTTGCTTTTAATAAAACTAGAAAGTAAGAGCGAGTTAAAAAAAATATATATTTCTTTGGTATGATTTTGTTATAATTGAAGCTTTTATTTATAATAATATCTTTTGCACCCAAAAAAAACCCTTCCTCCCAAATCCTCCCAAATCCGCCGCTCGTCACCCTCAATCGCTCTCGCCGTCTGCCTTCCTCAGCGGAATTAAAGCTCAGTCCAGCGGTCGCCCTTGGCGGCTCGTGTCCCCCCTCCTGTTTTTGCTCGCCTCGGCGGCTCGGTGGTGCCTCCGTTCGAGATGGTGGCTACTCCGGTGGTCTGCCTTCCTCAAATCGCGATGGTGTCTTCTCCGGCGGTCTTCTCTCGGCGGTCGCCCTCTGTGGTTGCTCCTGTGTTCCTCCCTTCTCAATTCGCTGCGGTAGTGGTGGGGTTGCAGTCGGACTTCTGTGCTCTGGGTAAGGTGGCGCGGTTCCGGTTGAGGGCCTCCCAGAGTTGCTGGGCTGTTGGGGGTTGGGTGAAATGGAGTGAGGGGCGAGGCTCAGGCGGCTTGTGGCGCTTGCGCTGGAGTATTCTGAGCGGGAGGGCCATTTTACTCCTCTTCCCTTGGTTCTCTTTTTGGGTTCGGGGGAGCCGACGCGGTGGTACTCGGCTAGTGGTGTTAGGCGGGTGGTGCGGCATTGGTATCGGCTAGTGGTGTTAGCCGGTAGATGAGTGGTGGTTCTTCCTGGCCGGGGACGGATCTTTATTGGTGTTTGGTTCTAGTCTGGTATCTGCTTCAGATAGGCGTTTAGGCAGTGTAGTTTGCGGGTACTGGGCCTGTGGATCTCTCCCTGATATAGATTGCTCTCTTGCTGGTTGGACTCGATCTTTCTGTTGAGGAAGGGCCTTTTAGTTGATTTTTGGTTTCC